AGAATGCGCTCACCATCTTTGAAGGACACTACTACAAAATATAAGCCTATGAAATGTAGGCCTCCTCAAAATAATACCAACTTGTTATTCAAAGAGATTTAGGGGATGTCTGGTGCAGTTTGTTGGAGTTTTTGTTTTTGTTTTTTTTTTTTTTTTGTATTATTTATGAGCAGTGTTTTGAAACCTAGACCGGACCGACTGATCCGACCATCACCCGGAGCATGAAACGGGCTGGGTTGACACCCAGGCCCGTTTGGACGATCGGCCCATCCAAACCCAAAGAACTCGTTCAACCTGTTTCGCCCAGACAACTCGGCAAACCCGTCAGGCGAATTGCTCCAAGCTAGACGGCACCACCAACGTACGCTCTGCAAGTTTTTTTTTTTTTTTTCCCCACAGTCGGGGTTTCTGATTTCATTCCATTCTCAACTGTTCCAAGTTCCAACTCTCAACTCTTACCAGTTACCACAACCAAACAAAATCAGAAAACCCACATGTGTATTCATCATCCATTGTCCATCCGTAGATCAGGCAGCAGATCTTCATCATCCATCGTTCTCCTTCTTGGCTTCTCCACTCTCTAGTCTCCATTCTTCAGTCTCCATCTCTTTTCCGGCGAAGAAGAAACCACAAGACAGTAGATCGGGCAGCAGATCGGCGTTCATCGTCTCTCCATCATATCGGTTGTCAACAGGAAACAGCAGGCATCAGCAGCAGCAAACAGCAGATTGATGTTCACCCACCAGCCTTGACCCACCACCACAGGCCTTCACTGTCCATCCGAGGGTGCTGCCGTTAAGTTGGACGAAATCTGTTTCTCCCCTAAAATAGAAATCGATTTTTTTTTTTTTTTGAAGTAGAAAAGCCCAAGATTGCAATTTGCCAAATTTTGGCAATTTTTATTGATCCGGCTGGCCGGTCAGTTGAACGGTCGAATTGGCCAAATCAAGAACCAGTGAGTAAATCGGTTCAATCACCAGTCCAATTTTCAAAACCATGTTTATGAGTGATAAATTTAAATTTTTATTGGAGGGAAAATCTAAAAGTTACTTTTAGAGATAAAAAAAAAGTGAATAAAAAGTAAGTAAAAAAGAAATTTATGAAAAATTTAAATTTGAAACTTTTGATCTTTTACTGTTTAGGATCTTTTTAAAATTAAAAAAATATTTAAAAATGTAAGTTTTTAGGAGGAAAATTTAAACTTATGAAATATGAATAGTGTCAAAAAGCTGAAGCACTTGAAAAGCTGCACCAAACGGAACCTTAATGATTTAAAAAGCTGTAATAAACAAATAAAAGTAGCTATATATATATATATGGGAGATTCATTTATATATAAATTTTATATATTATATTTATAAAAAATTTTAATTTTTTATTTTTTCATTTTTAATTGTTAAGATTTGGTATACTTTTTTAAATAAAAAAGATTATTATCTTTAATTAATATGATAAAAACTGAATAAATTTTAACTAATAAAAATCTAAATAAATTTTAATTATTAAAAATAAACAAATAAATTATTAAAATTTTTATAAATATAATATATAAAACTTATAAGTGGGTGAATTCATACCCCCATATATATATATATAAAAGTAGGTTTATCAAAGTTCAATCGGAGACTGTGGCTGTAAAGTGTTGTCATTTTTTGAAATTTTGGCATGAAACAAGACATAACTTCCCAATTTGCTTATTTTTCTACACGATTTTAATTTTCAAATTTAAGTCAATCACTACAGTGTCCCTAAACTTTTTTTGGTACCATTTTTGAACCTCAACTCTTTAATTTAGTACAAAAGTGACTCTTTTACTAAAAATTCGGTTAACTCTAAAGGTGGCAAATCATTTTTTATAATTTTGGTCTCTCAACTTGCATCAAATTGACACTTTAGTCCAATACTTTCTTTTTTCAATTTGATCCCAAATTTCAGTTTTTCTTCCAGTATAGTCCCCCAGCTTTTAAAAATTTAGCAATTCAATTCTCAAAATTTTGATTTCTTACTATTAAGTTAAGTCATGTAAAATCAATCTTAGAAAAAAAGGACAAATACCAATTTTGGTCCCTAAATTTTAACAATTTTTGTCCATTAACTTTTTATATACTTTTTTTTATCCTTTGTTTATAAAAAATATACTTTTTTAGTTTTTTCATCGGTTAATTTGTTAAGTTTATTCAAACATACACATTTTTAATTCCTTAATTTAAAAGGTTGAGGGATAAAAAATGTGTATTTATTATAAATTAAGGGATTAAAAATGTACATATTTAGATAGAATTAATGAATTAATAGAATGACTAAAAATGTGCACTTTTCATAGTTAAAGGACCAAAAAGTGTATAAAAAAAGTTAATAGAGAAAAACTGTGCAAAACCTTAAAATTGAAGGACCAAAATTGATATTTAACCTAAAAAACTTCATATTTTACATTAACCCACTCAAATACCATTAAAATCAAGGCTAACAAACACCATACTTTACATTAGAATTCAATCAAATCAACATATTAGCAAACTTTGAATTCAACACTACCCATTCAAAGAATAAAGGTGCTCTTTCCCAATTGCCCTAATGATCTATTTAATGCTTTCAAAAAACTAAATATCAACTTTAGACAACTCAAACTTGTTAGACTCAAAGAAATCATTCAAATTATACAATGGTTGTTCCACAATTGAGTCCAGCATAAACTTACCCTTTCTCAACAAAAATTCAAATGACATCTATCAATTGATCCTCATCCTTACTGTTCTTCAATTGTAGGATTAAAATCAAACTGAGCTTCCCAAGATGGACTTATTAATTCATATTTTAACTAGAATGAACAAAAATATGCATAGAAGGCAAATGGTTAATTAAATTAATAGGAAATGAGCTCTAGATACATGATTTAAACTTAAGTTTAATTACATTTTGAAAAAAAAAAAAAAAAACTCAAACGAGTCCTTCAGTTGATTTTTATAGGCAAAATAATAATAGCTTAGTTTATGCACTTCAAAATATACATAACTATCAAGTTGCTAAATAAACTAGCAAAGCACCAAACTCATTACCTTATTAGTTATGCTATAAAGGAAGCTTATCTAATACAAATACCGAAATAAAAGCTTTTTTTGCTACCATTCCACTTAATTTCCATTTCCAAGTAAACTAATTGACTCAATCTCTATACCATTGCATGAAGAAGAACTACTAGAAGACTCTCTAAGGTTGGTTATCTCAGTAACTTCATCTTGTTGAATAGCATGGGGATAAAACTGGAAAGGAGTGGGAGGCATTTGTAAGCTCTCAAGTTTTGCTTCAAGCATCTCTATGACTTTGTTCATTGAAGGGCGATCACTTGGCTTCATCTGTCATCTGTATGCACCACAAACCTACAATGACCATTTTCTTTACAATTCTCTTTTGATCTTCTGTAGCTTCTTGTATTTCCAGCTCCATTCCTCTGTTCAATTGCTCAGATGCCCATGAAGGAAAGTAGATTTGACTCGAATGCTCTACAAATGGGTTCACATTCTTTCTTCTACTAGCCATTTCCATCAATAACATCCCATAACTATAAACATCAACTTTGTAAGAGACACTTCCTATGTTTCTGTAAAACAATTCAGGCGCCATATAACCTATTGTTCCTCTTGCCGCAGTCAAGGACACAGTGTTACCTTCTATAGGATATAACTTAGCAAGACCAAAATCAGAGATTTTTGGAGTGAAGTTCTCATCTAAAAGAATGTTGTGAGGCTTGATATCAAAATGTAAGATTTGCATATCACAACCTC